TTCATGAACAAAATAATTGAGATTACGTCACGTACGTGTACGTCATGTACGTGACGAAAGCCATCTATGCATGAAACCATGTGTTCAGAGACATGATTCAAGAGATAAGGTTCGTCTCACTTTCATCTCAACCATCGGTGTCGCTCTCCTCGGCTAAGGTAGGCCACTCCGGTGAGTTGTCCCTGAGTTAAGATGTTTTTATTGTTCAATATTGACTTTTCTTTCTTTAATTTGAGCACAATTCAAAAACTTCCAAATATATTTACATATCCGTCTTCACTTCATAACTCTCACTTGCTCATTCCTCAACTCCTCAACATCCTAATGGAGCAGAGTTCATTTTCCGGTACGTAATGCTTCAATTATTTTCTTTAAGTTATGATCAATGTCAACGACGTATAATCTTTCTTGGCCACATTTATAAATATAATCATAAACAATTATTAAATACACACACATATGCATACCAATTAGATAACTAATGAATCTTTTTTTTGGTCACAGTGGAAAAACCTTCACAGGCTTCATCAGGTCCCTACACAAGTCCACCACCGCCGATTGGTTATCCGACTAGAGAACCGATGGTGGGTGATCCTCCGGCAGGACCAGTGGAGACAAAGTCCAAGGAGATCACCGACGAAACACTCGACAAAACAGCGTACGTACATATCTATTTATTTCTTTTTATTTACATTGATGTTTTTTATACTTTATCTGTTCAACTTTTCTTTACTAATGATATGTCTGTGTACACTATTGGCAGCAAGGTTCAGAAATGTGTCTGTTGTTGCTTTGAAGTGTTACAGAAATGTCTAATGTGAGACTTCTAATGAGACTGAAGACGTTGATCAAACAACACGTAATTCATATATCATTCGTTTGTAAGGACTGCCATGTTGCAATTTTAAGTTTATTTGCTTTATTGTTTGAAAGGGAACGATGATCCCCATTTGCTTCGTGTGTATTTTAATTTTTTTTCTTTTTCTATATAAACCAATGAAAAACCAAAGAACTGTGTTACATTACATCTTATTTCCAATAAACATTGAATGATCCTTGTGTGGGAGACTCAGACCATCCTCAATGCAAGAATCTTAGTTGAGGATGCCCTCATTAACTTCGAAATTTTAACAATGTCGGGGAAAACAAGTTGCCGTTAGGGAGGATTCATGGTTGTCTTTTGCTTTACTGTCTAAAGCATGGTCCTCATATATAGTGACGGATGCATATATAACTCGATTTTACATATAGCACAATCTTAAGAAGCTAGAAGCTGATTCTTTTTCTTTTGAGAAACCATTTTTACATATGGCATGCACAACCTTAAGAAACATAATTTCTTGTTGTTGAATTTAACAAATGTATTAGAAAAATTAGCTAAAAGTTACAAAAATTAAGAAAATGAGTATGAGGCATTTGCCCCACCCCTCTAATGCCTAGATCTGCCCCTCTCATGATATATATAAAACTGAACCAAGAGTATGTGGGTGGGCGTTCAGGAACTCATTCATGTTTAGAGAGGGTATTTTGGGATTAGAGGTATATATTCCGTTCCGATATTTGTAGATTAATTTCAGGATCGGATTCGAATTACTCGAAGTTTTTAAAACTCAAAATTTCCAAAACTCAAATTTTTAGTATCTAAATATGTCTTAACTATCTCAAAACCCTAGAATATGTTTTATAGAAATTTAGTAAAACAAAAATATTGTTTAATACTTAAAAATATCCAAAATATATAAAAATCTGAATATTTTGGAAATTTAGATTATTAAAAATATAAATATTACCAGATTTCAAAACTATATTTTCAAAATTAAATCATAAACTCTGAACAACAAACCTTGCAATACAAAAAGAAAACACAACCGAGTGTTGAAGAGGTGCTAAAAGACATATTCATGAACAAAATAATTGAGATTACGTCACGTACGTGTACGTCATATACGTGACGAAAGCCATCTCTGCATGCATGAAACCATTAACGTTGGTTCAGAGACATGATTCGAGAGATAAGGGTCCTTTGCAATAATATGTGATGAAAATGCTTCCGTCGTCCATTTCTTATCTTTCATCTGAACCATCGGTGTCGCTCTCCTCGGCTAAGGTAGGTCACTCCGGTGAGTTGTCCTTGAGTTAGATGTTTTCATTGTTCAATTCTGACTTTTCTTTCTTCATTTATCAAAAAAAGTTCCTAATATATATAATATACCCGTCTTCCTTAATTGTATAACCACAACACTCACTCCTCTTCATAATTCGATCACTAGCTCATTCCTCAACTCCTCAAAATCATAATGGATCCATCCGAGCAGAATTCATTTTCCGGTACGTACGTAACTCTTCAGTTATTTTCTTAAAGTTATGATCAATGTCCGACGACGTATATTAATTTTGGCCACGTATAAATATAACCATGAACATTAGTGACTTTATATACATACCAATTAGATAACTAATTAATCTTTTTTTTGGGCACACAGTGGAAAAATCTTCAGAGATTTCATCAGGTCCCTACACAAGTCCGCCACCGCCAATTGGTTATCCGACTAGAGAAGCGATGGTGGGTGATCCTCCGGCAGTAGCAGTGGAAACAACGTCCAAGGGCGTGAGCGACGCAACCTTAAAAATAACAGAGTATAAATATTTATTTTAATTTACTTTATTAATTGTTCGACATGTTTTTTCTTTCTTAGCGATATATCATCTGTCTACAATACAATCTTTTATACCAACATTATCAATGGGATGTTAAAGGGTAAAATCCCCCGGTTTTTGCAAAGAAAAGATCTTATATAAGATTTTTGCTTTGCAAAAACCGGGGGATCTTAGCCTCTAAGATCCCACCAATAATGTTGCCCTTACCAAAAAAATTTATCTGTCTACAATATTGGCAGGTGTATTCAAAAATGTCTTTGTGGTTGCCTGGACGGGTTAGGTAGCGTATGAGACGAAGTCGTCGACCAAACCAGAAAAAAAGATCCATCAATATATTTATTTTGAGTTCATAATAAGAGTCTCAAAAATAAATATAAATATCTATATATATATATATATATAAATTGTATGTTTTTTAATCCGTTTGTAAGGACTCCCACGTTGTATTTTTTTGTAAGTTTATTTGCTTCACTGTTTGAAAGGGATCAATGATCCCCATTATATTTGTTTTTGTGTATCTTGTTTCAATATAAATCAAAGAAAAATATGTGTTATATAGTGTTCTTACATCTTAAATTGTGTTATGTAGTGTTCCTTGATGTCTTATATAGTCACATGCAAAGATCATTCAATCTTTTGGAATTTACGATTTCATAGAAATTATTACTCTACCAAATAAAAAATATTTTACGATAGTGAGGATTAAGTTATCAGACCATCAATATGATGATGTTATATATATATTTGAGTAAGACCATTTCCACTCGTGCTACTTAAAAAAACAAAATTATTTAATTTAATTTATTTATTTTTTAAGTTTAACTCATGAAAATTTGTCATATATCATATTTTATATTAGTACCGTTGCTATTGGTACCATTTTAAATAACGATTCTTATTTTTTTCTTTAATTTTGTTATTTTTTATTAATTGATTGTGGTTAAACTACCCTTTAAAGTTTTGTAATGGAGATGGTCTAAAGATTGTGCTCTATGGTCAAAATAAGGTCAAAACGATATGCTGGATATGCAAAATTGTAATCTTCTCAGTAGTCTCTACTCTACCTACATGCGAAGGCTCTCGGACTTCTATATGTTTTTCAATTGGTTTGGTCGTCGTTTGATATTCGAAATGTTTTGTTTGAAGTAGATAATTTGGAGTTAGTCCAAATGTCTTTGAAGTAGATATATACATTACTCTTAGCAGAAAATATAAAAAATACATTACACACTAAACTATATATTTTAAACTGTACAATAGAATTTCCAAATTAATTAAAAAAACAAGCTTTTACCTCTAATATTAAATTATTTTAAATGCTTAAAGTTAACTAGGAACCTAGATGATGTTTTGATATTGATCTAATAATACTCTTTCTGTTTCATTATAAATGATGTTTTAACCAATTTTTGTTTGTCCAAAAACCTTTGATTCCAGTGTGGTGGATATGTTTCTACTACATATGTCCAGTGGCGTGGACACTTCAAGGAGTAATCCTCTCACAGCTTGGTGACATGGAGAGCATTATCGACGAACCAACGTTCCATGACACGGTGAAGGAGTTTATCGAACATTACTTCGGGTACAAGCCAGACATGATAGGTGTATCTGCAGCTGTCCTTGTCTGTTTTTGCGTTCTCTTCTTCTCGTGCTTTGCACTTTCAGTCAAATACCTCAATTTCCAGAGAAGATATAAGTCCTACTTTATATTTTCATTTTTGCCCTTTTTTCACTGGTGTTCCTTGTACGAGTAGTCATGATTTTTAAATTTTTTTCCTCTAATGTTACTGCAGGACTCTATTAGTTTTCTTGACATTGATGAAAAAAAACTATAAGTGATGTTTTCAATTTTCTTTGCAAAAATTTACTATATTTAATATTTTTCGACCAATTATATTTTACATCATATTTTCTTATTGGTTGAATTCATATTAGTTAATGATGTTTTTATGAAAAATGGATAAGTTATATGTTTTATTAATTAGTATGCCAAAACCTTAAACATCACTTAAACTGAAACAGAGGGAGTATATACTATTATTTAATATAGTCACTCTAATAATTAACACTAGGGATGGACCCGCACGTACGTGCGGGGTTGATTTCAAAAGTTTGTATTACATACGTGCGTGCGGAGTTGATTTCAATATATTACATATATGCAAGGTTAAGTTTGTAAACATATTTTTAAATAATAGTATTTAATTCATAATTAGAAGAATTCGTACCAGTTTCATGTTGTTTTTAATTCGATTTAGATAAAGAAATTATCAGATTTGTTTTTGTTAAGTTAAGAACATTACATAAAAGAGAAATAGTAAAAAAAACCAAAAATGTGACTATTTCATAACCGTAGAGTCCCATCCATATATATCATGCTTTTCCATCTTACAATAGTGGTTTGAATACT